TTAAGGAGGGTTTGCAGAGAACCTAGGGGAAAGATTGATTAAAACAGATCCTAGGGAGACAACAGCTCCTGGAAGAACTACAAGGTATAGGCCCTGTGCTTTCCTGATGGCTGTGGTGTCGATGATACTGATCAGTATCCTCTCTAGGATGCCATCTGCCTCAAATCATTACATAAGGAACAAAACAGTCCTGATACTCCTGAAACAAATGAGGAGACTCTCCCCTCTCTCCTGTCTGAAGGACAGAAAGGACTTTGAATTCCCTCTAGAGAAGGTGGATTCCCAGCACATCCAGAAGGCTCAAGCCATCCCTGTCCTGCATGAGCTGACTCAGAAATTTCCTGATCCTCTTTGGCTCCAAGAACTCATTTGCTGCTTGGGAGACAGCCCTGCTAGACACCTTCTGCACTGGCCTCCACCAGCAGCTCAATGACCTGCAAGCCTGTCTGATGCAGCAGGTGGGGGAGCAGGAACCTCCCCTGAGCCAGGAAGACTCCCTGGTGGCTGTGAGGAAATACTTCCACAGGATCACTGTCTACCTGAGAGAGAAGAACCACAGCCCCTATGCCTGGGAGGTGGTCAGAGCAGAAGTCTGGAGAGCCCTGACTTCCTCAGATACCTTGCTGGCAAGATTGAGTGAGGAGAAAGAGTAAGCCCTGAGCCAAAGAGGAGAGGACTCTTCTAGGCTAGGACACTGCACCTTACTATTCAGATTCTGCAATCCTGAAATCATTAATTATTTTGACACAAACCCAATGAACCTACCTAGGTTCTTCATCAAGAATGGGCAATACTGGGTCTATATGTAAAGACCTTTGTTCTCCATATTTTCATATTTACTGATTTATTGAACTATATTTGACTTAAGTTCTTTTCATTTATTTCATGATAGTGATATATATTTGTTATTGAAGTAAATACATATGTAACCAGATTATTTTCTGTTCTATAAATTATTTCTTAACATATCTTACCATTTCCATTCTTTGAATCATTTCAAAAATTCATAATGCTTTGATATGATACTCTTCACCATAAAAATTACATGCAAAACCAGTGTTCACATTGTTGTTGATATTTAACATTGCCTATTGTTTAGATGAGCAGATATACCCATCTCACACTTTTCATTCACTGATGATGAAGCTTAAATCATTACATTTCTCCAGTATAGAGTACTTTCCTGTATATATAACCAGCATATGTATATACCTGTTATATGTAGTAAGCCAGAATGTCTTGCTCCTGTATAATTCTGACTTAGTCTTTGGCCAACTATACCTCATACTTATTCCCTGACATCTTCCTATTATTTTATTCTCAAGTTCTGTGGGTTTATATGAAGACAAATGCCCTTCACATAAACAACTAGAAATAAAAACAGTAACCTTCTATGAGTTATGAAACTTAAACCAAGAAGATTGAATTTATCCTTGTAAGCACATCCTTATAGAGTAAGATACAAGAAGGAGGGCTGAGGATGTGATTTCACAGTGCATCAGAGAGTGTTAATGAACTTGAGGGCTTCTGAGTAAATCTTATGGGTAATGGAGAAGTAACACAATCCTGGAATCAGACTCTGCACACATATACACATCAAGGAGGAGCCAGCACTGAGTGTCTCGGTGATTGTCACAGGGTGAAGAAAAGAACACTGTAGACCTCAGCGTGAAGGGAGTGGGCAGAAAGGAGGGGTCAACACTGATCCTTACTTAGAGAGACCGGGGAAGCACAGTCCTGTGGCCTATAGGAATTCATTCCTGAGTGGAAGCAATTTCAGAGAATCCCTTTGCTTGTAATGAGTCGCCTATGGGAATAAATAGGAATAGCTCCATCCTCTTGTTCTTCATTATGATGAGACTCTGTGCTATGAATCAGTGTGCAGGTATAGAAGACTAAGTGGCTATGGATCATCATTTTACTTTTCAAGTGAATACATGAGTATTCTAGGAATTAAATAATTCTCTGTGTGTACATCTTTGTGTGTGCCTGTGCACATGCATATGTGTGCATGGGTACAAAATTGTGTTCTTGAAATGGAGGATTGATGGACTTTCAGACAGACACAAGCTAAACTATCATTAGAGCATACCTACTAACATTCTGAAGAGATTCCTCATTTCTTTCACCTCCCCAAATATTTGAAGTTTAAAGGTTAGTCCTGTCCCTAATGGGAATCCATAGGAATTACAGAAAGATGGACAGACTTCCTGGTAAGGATTCCAAGACAGAGGCATCAGAAAGCCATGAAGACTGTGTAGATGAAAGAGACTAAGAAGGTTCTATATGGCCAGGAATCCATCACCAGGACCAATAGACACACAGAGAAGTGGGCATGTTTCCCATGTCTATCAATAGTGTACCTAGAAAATAGTAGAAACTGAAATTTTCAAGAGCACAAAATTAAATATTCCAGTTAGGTACAATTTGTGTGCAAGTAGTGTCCCAATGTTCTCATACACAGAAGATCTTTATACATACTCTAAAACAATATAGACTTATTTGTTGCCATTGATAAAATTAATTTATGTATCATTTACAGAATGATGACAAAGACTTTGAAGTTTGCAAATACACAGAACACACTGTGCAGTTCCCTAGCTGCTATAAATGTTGAGAAGCTAGCACTGCTTCCATTAGGATTTGATACAAACATTGTTTATATGGACTTAATCACACTACAGAGTCCTCTGCATGAGAATAACTATCACATGCTGATTAAAGTGATTATAAATTTGTTATTATTTTAATAGTACTGTGGCATAGCATTTTAGATCCTAAGTCTTTGAAATACAAAGTTCAGACACTCTCCATGTATGTTGTGGTTTGGATATAAAACATCTCTCAGGGTTTGCTATATTGGAGGTAGGTACCCATGGGAGCAGTGTTCTGAGGGGAACATGAGCCTTCATCACATCCTTAAGGAACAAACTGTATCAGTACAAATCCATGGATTGTTTCCAATGAGTGAACCCACTAGGTAGTGAGGCTTTGCTGGAGGAAGGTTAGGGGGCTCCATGTTAAGAACACACTTTGTCTCTATCTGCTCTTTGGCCACCATGAACTGAGTGACTTTGCAAATCACATGGTCTTCTTACTATGCAATGGATCCAGAAATCCATGGAGTTAATATTCTAAAGTTGTTAAGCAAAGTGAATTAAAATTTAACTTTCAGATTTTTAATATCATATTAGTCAAGTGTGTGTGTGTTTGTGTGTGTGTTTATGTGTGTGATTACATGTGTGAATGTGTCTGAGGGTGCGTGCATATATGTCTGTGTGTCTCTCAGAGTGGTTATTTATTTGTGCATATGTGTCTATGTGTGGTAGTTTTGTGTGCATATGTGAGAATGTGTGTGAATGTGTGTCTAAGGATATGTGTGTGTGTGTGTGTGTGTGTGTGTGTGTGCGCGCGCGCACGCCTGTATTTGGGTATGTTAGGTGTATATGTGGAATTTGAGTGTTTGTACATATGTGTGTATTTTTGTGTATGTGTGTGTATGTGTGGGAATTTGTTCATTGTGTAATTATATGAGCATGTGGTGTTTATGTTTCCATGGTGTTTGCATATATTTTTATATCTGAGAATGTGTTCATTAGTATGTTCCTGTGTGTATGAATGAGTGAGTGTGTATTTATGTATGTATTGGAAATCTGTCTTATGTGTGATTGTGTGTGAATACATGTGTAGGGGAGTGTATTTATGTGTGTCTGTATGTGCGTGTGTATTTGTGTGTGGGAATATGTGTGCACATATTTGTATGAGTGTGTATTTGTGTGTTTCTTCCTGTGTGTGCATTTGTGTCAGTGTGTGTATCTGTGTGTTAGTAAGTATATGTGTGTTTGTGTGCATGTGAGTATGCATGATGATTTGCATGTATCTGTGTGAGGGTGTTTCTATGTTTGGTGCATGTGTATATGATAGTGTGTGTCTGTGTGTAATCATGTTAATATATTAATGAGTGTGAGTACCTGTGTGAGTGTGTATGTGTATCATGGTGTGTGGGTGTTGTATGTGCATGCATGCATTGAGTGTGCCTGTGTGGAAACAAGCTTGCCAAGTGTATATGTAGTGGTAAGAGTCCAACTTACAAGAGTTGGTTTTTCTTGGTCAGCCATGGGTTCCAGAAATCAAACTCAGCTCACGAACCTTGAGCAGTAAGCCTTTACACTTTGAGTCTTCATAATGGCATGACAACCATTTGATGGATAAAGAAGATACACTGATGGTTTAGTTAATATTATATAAACATTAATATTGGAGCTAATGTAGGCAAGTTGAAGGAATTAACTTAATAAAGCCTTTAAACATTGGAAAAATTTAAAATGTGTCATTGACATCCATACTTGTTTTCTATTTTGGATGTTTCAGACAGAGTCCTTTGAGTAGCCGTACTGTTCTGGAACTCCATCAGTAGGCCAGACTAGCCTTGAAATCATAGGCATTGCCTCCCAAGTACTGGGATTAAAGCTGTGCACCACCACCATTATGAGCCTAAATATTTTACTTTTGAAACAATTTCAGTCTTATATTTATAATTAAAAATTTATAATTAATATATATATATTTATATATTAAAACAAAGTTGTGAAGTTATGTTAAAGTGACTTTCAATACTTTTAAATACAACTTTTAGAGAAGATTGTCTTTACCCACAATGTGTAAATTTCAACAAAGAAGGCTCATCTGTGGTGTAAGATTTAATGACATTTCCATTTGCAAAATGAAAAATTGTAAGTCAGCTTTCTGAGGGCAGCAGTGAAAGAGGAAGCAAAGATGAAAACTAAAAGCTTTTAGAAAAAATTCCCAGACACAAGGAGAGAATGAGTTAACCAAATTGAAAAGACAATTGGAAAGTGAGAGGAGGGCATTCAGAAAATGGAAAATAGTGGTTTTTTCCTATTTAAGAACGATGCTCACAGCATGGTCTTCAGAGAACCTAGAGGGAAAGACTCAGGACCACAGAGCCCAGAGGATCAGCAGCAGCTGCAGCATCCACAATGGCTAGACCCTTTGCTTTCCTGATGGCCCTGGTGGTGTTGAACTACTGGTCAACATGCTGTCTGGGATGTGACCTACGTCAGACTTATACCCACATGAAAAATAAAATCTTGAATCCCCTAGACGAATTGAAGAGACCCTCCCTTGTCTCCTGCCTGAAGGACAGAAAGGACTTTGCATTCCCTCTGAAGAAGGTGGATGCCCAGCACATCCAGAAGGCACAAGCAATCTCTTTCCTACAGGGGCTGGCCCAGCAGGTCCTGACCCTCTTGGTGCCAATGGACTCATCTCATGTTTGGGAGAAAAAAGTCCTGGAAACATTCCTTAGTGATCTCAATGACCAGCTCAAACTCCTGACAACATGTCAGGGGATGGGTGATTCGCAGGTGACTGTGAATGATTACTTCCACAGGATCACTGTCTACCTGAAGGAGAAGAAATACAGCCCCTGTGCCTGGGAGGTGGTCAGAGCAGAAATCTGGAGAGCCCTGACTTTTTTAAACAACTTGCTGCCAATATTTGCTGAGAAGAAGGAAGCCCTAACAAAAATGGAGAGGACTCTCCTGAGCTAGGAGAGTATATATGTGTATTATGTGTGTATTTATGTTACTATTTATGTAATTTAAGTTATGTAATTTAAGACTTGCAGTTTTTATTTTCTTTAATGATGCAAAGAATCATATGCAATTAAATTATTTTGAATCCTATTCAATTTTCTGTATAAAACATTTGTGATTTCTTTTTGGTTTTTGTTGTTTAATTTAAATTAGAGACTAGCTTGTTTTACATGTCAATCCCAGTTCGCTCACCCTCCCCTCCTCACCTGCCCTCCACCAACCCCCATTCCTTTCCCCTCCCCAGGGAAAATGAGGCCCTCCATGGGATTTCATCAAAGACTGACATATAATTTGGAGCAGGTCCTAAGCCTTCCCCCATGTGTCTAGGCTGAGGGGATATCTCTCTGTGTAAAATGGGCTCCCAAAGTCCATTCATATCTAGGAATAAATACATTTCCACTACCAGAGGCCCCATTGATTGCCCAGGCTTCCTAACTCACACCTATGTTTAAAGGGTCTGGATTGGTTCTGTGCTGGTTTCCCAGCTATCAGTCTTAGGTCCATGAGCTCCCACTTGTTCACATCAGCTGTTTCTGTGGGTTTCTCCAACCTGGTCTTGACCCTTTTGCTCATCACTTCTCCCTCTCTGCAACTGGATCCCAGGAGTTTGGCTAAGTGTTTAGCTGTGGATATCTGCTTCTGCTTCCATCAGCTACTGGATGAAGGCTCTAGGATGGCATTTAAGTTAGACTCTCCACTATTGCTTAGAGTGTTACTTGGGGTCATCTTTTTAGATCTCTGGACATTTTCCTAGTTCCAGATTTCTCTTTAAATCTGTAATGGCTCCCTCTATTACGGTATTTCTTTTCTTGCTCTACTCTATTCTTCTACAACTCAGGCTTCCTACTCCCTTATGTCTTCCTTTCCCCTCCTCTTCTCCCCTTCTCTTTCTCCTAAATCCTTCTCACCTCCCCCCATCCTCCTAATTTGTTCAGGAGATCTTGTCCATTTACCCTTTTCAGGGGGATCATGTATGTCTCTTTTAAGGACCTCCTTGTTTCCTAGCTTCTCTAGCTGAGTGGATTGTAGAATGGTAATCCTTTGCTCTATGTCTAAAATCCATATATGAGTGAGTACCATGTTTGTCTTTTTGTGACTCGGTTACCTTCCTCAAGATGATTTCTTCTAGTCCCATCCATGTGCCTGTAGATTTCAAGAGTCCATTGTATTTTTCTTTAGTTAAGGGGCTTCTAGGTTGCTTCCAAGTTTGTGATTTCTTAATGCAGTATCTTTTCCATTTTTTGCAGTCTTTTTATGCTGATACTTTGCAACATAAAAATTGTAAAAATGAACACTGTCTAAAATACATGTGTACACTGCACAGTATTTAGAGAAACTGTAATGTATTCCTCTGCTTATCTGCAGCATATTGTATTTACTGCATGTAATCCAGCATGCTGTCCAATAAAAAGCCATAGAATCGGGATCTTGTGATATAATGACCTAGTCTTCTTTGATGTATATTCGCCAGTTAATCCTGCCTCAGACTCTCCTGACCTCTGGTACCTTAGATCTATTCTTGGCTTCAATGAGTTTTAACCAGTTTGGATTCTAATATGAGTGAGATAATGTAAAACAATATGAAATAGATTACAGAAAGCCAATTAGCCTGCCTGTCTAACACAGACAAACATACCAGGATATCAGGAAAACAACACCATTCATAAAAGCCTCTAGAAACATCTCTTGGATTAAATCCCACCAGGGAAATGAAATCCTCTAAAATTATTCCTTTGAAAAACCACTATGCCCTCTCCATTTCAATGGGGTTTCTCCTTGCCATCCTCATACTGTTCCTCTTCCTCCTTTTCATCCTTGTTTTCTTGGAGATTCTAGTTATGCATGGACACAGGTCCATCTCCTGGAGCTAAGGTAGCAACTTTTAGGGGCCTCAACCCTAATCTATCTCTCTCAGAAGCCACCGGTTTCTGCAGTTCCTCAGCGAGAGGTGGGTTTTCCTTCATTTTCCAAGCTTGGCTAATGTCTGAAGTGGTCTTGTTCACTCAGTCACAGCCACTCTCAGTTCATCTGTGCATCTACCCTGCTGTGGCCATGACGGCTACCTTGCTGTAGTCATACACTGCCTCTGCCTCTTACAATTCTTCTGCTCCCTCTTCTGCAATGATCCTTGGGGCCCTTTATTTTCTGTTCAATGATCAGTTGTGGTCACTATGTTTATTGCCAACGAGTGCAAGAGGCTTCTGTTGTAAGGGGATATAATGCTGCAGCAATGCTCTCTTAAACATATAGCTGTAATTTGAATCCATGTACTGACTGTGACACTACAAATACAACACTGCATTTATTCTCCGGTATATGCATGCCTCCATATACAAGTGATAATTCTTGGAGTAAAATAATTTAAAGTTGGATTTTGTGATGTTTTGTATAGGAATGGCCCCATAGACTGGTGTGTTTCAATGCTTGGCCCTTTGGGGAGTGGCACTATTAGGAGGTGCAGCCTTTTTTTGGTGTAGGTGTGGCCTTGCTGTAGGAAGTGTGCCACAGTAGAGTTGGACTTTGATGTCTTATATGCTCAAACTTGGCGTAGTGTGGCAGTCCCCTGCTTCTGCCTGTTTATGAAGGTGTAGAACTCAGCTCCTTCTCCAGTACAATGTTTTCCTGCCTACTTACTGCTTGTTTCCCAGAATGAATACACCTCTGAAACTGTAAGCCAGCTCTGATTAAATGTCTTCCTTTATACCATTGCTGTGGCCATGGAGTCTGTGTTTAGCAATAGAAACTGTAGGACAGATTGTATTGAACATGCAGATCCTTAGGAAATATGAAGTTGCCTTCATAACATCATTGTGCTTAATCAACATATATCTTTCCCAGTGAATCCTAGTAGCTAATGTCATTGCTACTGTTTTCTCACATGGATGACTAACCAGTCCCTTTCTTTGGCTTTCATTTCCAATTACATCATAGTTCTTTGGTCCATTGTCACAATCCAACATTAGGATTTTCTTTTTAGGAAACTCGAAAATAAAAATAATGCATATGTGGAGAGTTCTGTCATCATACCAACACTTTAGGGAAACAGAAATCATTAATGGAAAAGTGTAGACTGTTGAAGTTCTGAAAGCCTTTGCTGTCTGTCAGAATATGTTGAATACCTCTACAATTAAACACATTGGAAAGCAAGATTAATCACTGAAGTCAGTATTCAATGGGGAATTGATGACTTACAAATATTTCTTATAGGATTGGTGTCCTAGACTAAAACTAAAACTAAATTTTGGAATGTATGTATGTATGTATGTATGTATGTATATTGGTGTATTGTAATTAGTAGTACATGCTATATATAATAATGTATATATGTGTGTACACACCTTTCTAGTATATTCCTAGTACCTCCCTGCATTCCCAGAATGCATCTGTCAGACTTACAGTCCTGCTTTCCTTCTTCATGATATGGAAAGCCCCATCCTTCTTATCGTCTCATTAATAAGCTCTGCTCACTGCACAACTTATTTTTAGACCATTTCAATTTCTGGGTCACAATTTTTCCTGGAAAACATAGTCAACCACTAGGAGTCATTCAAGTTTTGTGACTAACTCTCATCTCATATAAGCATGTAAGAGAGAACTTGCTTTTTTTTCTTTTCCTTTTTTTTTTTATTTTTGAATGAGAGTGTTCTCCTGCTGACTTAATGCTGACTATGGCCAAAATCAGAGGCAGGGTGAGTGTATGGTGGGGAGGGGGAAAAGACAATCTTCTCAATTTTTGCAATACAGGTAAACATTTAGAGGGCAAGAGCGCCACCTACTGGCCACCAGTTCAAAGAAAAAACAGATTAACCCTGGCATGTTCCCAGTTTTCTCCACAACTAAGTGTATTTGCCCAGTAGAAAGAATTGCAGTTTGGAAGACTCCATTCCCTTCACTTCTCATCTGAGTTGGAAGCTTCCTGCCAGGTCCACACAGGTCATGTCTACTGGACACAAGATAACACAACATGCAGAAATTGTTACTGAGTTGTTTTGGTTGTTGTAGTTGTTTTTTGTTTGTTTGTTTTTCTTTCTCCCTCTACGTTCTGTAGAGGAAGTTCTGTGTATAGTTCAAGTGGTAGCTATTTACAAAGCTCTGTGTCTGACCTCACATCTTGAGGTCATAAAGCATTTGGAATACATCTTGAAACTGAGCAAACCATGACTGAGACAGAGTATCTGAACCCACAGAAGAGATTATTTTTACCTGTTCCTCTGTCTACTGAGACGAGCAAACATGACTTCAAAAGTTCAGGTAAACTCTTTTGTATCAGGAATTCTAATTGGTCTTTATAATAAAACCCCGAAGTCAGATATACTGGTAAATCTGCAAGATTAGAGAGGCAGAGCAGCCAGACACTAGTTCTTTCCTCTACTGAATCCTCAAGCCAAATAGTGATTTGTCTCTAGGATCCCCAGACTGAAATCTCTGAGATCCTTTCTCCTCTCACCTCATACTCCATTCTCAGCCCAGTCATGTCATTCCTGTATCCACCCCCACCCCTGTCCCACCCCCAGTGCTGAGAGTAAAGGCTGTGACTCTGAGTACTGAGATTAAATGTGTGAGCCACCACTTCCTTTCTCTGTTTCTTTTTGAGACTGATCAATCTAGTGTAGCTTAGGGTGGCCTTGAACTCACAGAGATCCGTCTGCATCTACCTCCTGAATGCTAGGATTAAAGGCATGTGCCACCACTGCCTGGCCTCCATGGTCAACTAGTGGCTTAGCTTTGCACTCTGTTCTTCAGTCAAGCCTTATTTGTTAGATCGCAAACAAAATATCGCCATACTCTTCCACAATAGAACAGGCCACATGGGGCAACCTGAATCTTTGTTACAGATCATGGTCACTCTTAATTGATGCAGAATAAATTAGTTCTTATTCCTACTGGAGCAAGATCTATGTTTAACAGGGGCAAACACAGTTCAACAGCCCAAAGCATCTTGACCCATCAGTCCT